ACCGCTGGCAAAGCGGCAGTAGCTGCAGCAAGCGGTGCCGCGGGCAGTTATATGCAGCCCTGTATGTGTTGTATAAATGATGATCAACATGTAACAATTATATTCAATCAACTGCTAAATTTATTTAGACAGCAACAACAAACAGAATGAAATTAAAAAAAAAATCAATCAACACACTCATGTGCCAGTAATTTAATCTTTCTCATAACAGACAGCATTAACCCGGAGGTCCCGCTGGTCAACACAGGCATGTAAAAATAATTCCATGTCACGTGTTTCCTGTGGAGCTCCACTTTACGCCCCTTAAAATCACGTATTTCCTGTGGAGGTGACGTATTTCCGGTGGAGCTCCACTCTACAGGCGTCTGCAGCTGGACCCTTCTCTGATATTCGGGAGAAATAGCAGATAATGCATCGGAACTTCCTGGGATACAAACGTCATACAAACGTCACGTTCTTCAGCCAATAAGGGCAAGGTTGTCACGGAGGCTGTTCCAGCTTGTTTAGCCGGCTGAGAGGTGCTGTACGATCTGTCTTAAGTCGTCTTGCTCTTCCAAGGTTTTTGTACCATGTAACATGGTGACTCGTGGCGACGTTTTGCAGCGCCGGACAAAAAAATCTAGCCATATCATGAAAAACGAGGTTTAAAAATTTCTACATGAAGTGCAGGGAGACTGTCAGTTAATTAATGGGTATGATTTAGTGTTGTTTTGTGCTATAGTATAGGCTGAAACCTGCGGTTATCATCAAAAACAAAATGCGGTAATCGTAAAACAAAATTTAATTTGTGTAAACCAATGAATATTAACAGCATTGTTAAATCTGCATTTGCATAATTTCAAACTTATGCTGGACTTTTATTTTTAATTGATTGCTCTTTTTTGTCCCACAGTGGTGAAATTGCACCATTTGTATTTTGTAATTGCATTTGTTTCGCTCAATTAGAAAAGGGAGTTGTATTTCAAATAAAGTTTGAATCTGAACCTGTGTAGTTTGAATGGGGGGGGCTCAATAATGTTCCAATCTAGAAAAGGGGGGCCCTGCAAAGAAAGTTTGGGAACCACTGGTGTAAAACAACAATGTAACTCATTTTGTTTTAAGCCAAAGAGCACTGTACAATTGCAATTACTTTTATGGCAAGCACTTGTTCATGACGTAATGTTTACCTGTCCAGCAACTCTTGCGAGCCCTTGGCGGTTCACCGCTGACCGTGTGAACAGGAAAGCAAATTTTTCTCCTGTGCCAAGTGCTTTGCCCATTGCCGTTTGGACCGTGCCTAAAGGTTAAATTGAATTATTGCATATTATTTATTAGACATTGTCCAGAAATAGCACCACTAACTATGGGAGCACTTTACCTTTGAAAAGAATCGTGGATGGTGAGAGAGACGAGAGAGAACATAAGAAATTTACAAACGAGAGGGGGCCATTCGGCCCATCAAGCTCGTTTGGGGTTTTTTTTTTGTAGGACGACTTTCACTATAATTAACCAAATCACTGCTATCTGTTGGCTCACTGGAATCTTATTCTTTTTGTGCAATTTTAACAATGAACCTATCCAATGACAACCGCTTTTGCCTCCTTTTCGATTTTGTGCAAATGTGGACATTGCATTGTCGTTAAACAGATTCATCGCTCGCACTGCTACACCCTTATTCGGGTGGTGCTTTTCTACTAAATTTTTGTCACGCCCGGCTTGTCCGATCCTCGTGTGTGCCACGCCCCCCTCGTTACCTCGTGTTAATTCCCGATTGTATTCACCTGTTGCCTGTTCTGTTCTGCGTATCCTGTGTATTTAGTCCGTGTCTGAGTGAGTGTTCCCCAGATCCGTCATTAACGTAGTGTAATGTTTAGTCGCTGTCAGTCCCGTTTGTGCTAATAAAACCCCATTTGCCTGTATTTACGGCTGGACTCGCTTGCTTTCCCGCTCGCCTGCTTGCCTACACAACAATTTTGACTATACGAGTGAGGCACACCGACTGAATGGGAGACGGTTACCCACAATCCCGCAGTGAGAGAGAGAGAGAAGAACCATCGAATGAGTTGTGATCACGTGATGGTAGGCAGACGAAGCGTATACATAATGCTCGTATTGCAAGACTTCGCTCGTTTATCAAGTTAAAATTTATAAAAAAAAATTTGCTTGTCTTGCAAAACACTTGCAAACCAAGTTACTCGCAAGCTAAGGTTTGACTGTGTGTGTATGTATATATATATTTTACTATTATTATTATTATTATTATTATTATTTATTTTTTGGTGTATCATTAAACAGTATGATTACGTGAAAGAAACACCACTATTATGAGCAGAAAGCGGGTGCGAAATCATTTACTATTTTGACAACGTGAACGCATGCCGTGTAAATTAGCTGGTACAAAACTAGCATAACCACTTTACGTTGTGCTTTGCACAGGTGGAAATCAGAGCTGATTGAGTTGCTGTGCCTAAATTTTTTTTCTGACTGGGATACTTTAATAATTATACACTTATACCGAGTGAGGCTTAGAGGAGGCATGAAGATGAGTCTCTGGTAATGAGCTATTGCTCCTGGACAGACTGGGAGAAGCTAGCCAGAGGCAGCACAACACCAAACAGTGTGGATTATGGTGAGGTGGTCTGGGGCAGGGACCACACACCACCAATGTGAATTACGGTGATGTGATCTGGTGCAGGGACCACACCACCAAACATTATAGATTAATGGTTAGAAAATCTACTAATTTCTTCCAGGATCCCTGTGTTCAATTGACTCCTGTTATCCAAAAACAGGCTAATTGGTGCCTCTAAAATGCCCATAGAGAATCATTGTGTATGGGTCCTGAAATAGGCTCCTAGTTCCTGTCCTGGGTGTACCTGAGCCTGTGCTGCCTAGGATACACTCCAGCCAATCCCCTGGTTCCAATCCCATGGCCAGCAGAGTATTACTGTTGGGCCCTTGAGTAAGTCACTTAACCCCAGTTACTCCAGGAACCAACTGAACCTGCTCTCAGTTATATGTCGCTAAGTGCCTAGATATAAATGCAAATATATCCAGGTGAATTCAGTCACAGCCATGTCTGAATCGTCTTTGAGCCCAGTAACTGCCCATGCAGATACTCTTTGCTTGGGAATTTCGCTCTAGCATCATCTTAGATCTCACTCCAGTGTAACTCATTGAGCACAGTGAGCTTTACCTATTTGTTTCCTCTCAGCTGTGGGCAGACATTTCAGCCTGTAGTATTTACTTTTTTACTACTATTTGGCAGAAAGTAATCTCCCCAAAATCCATCCACAGCAGTTAGTTAAACTGATTCTGGCGCGGATTCAGGTAATGGCTCAGACAAGTCGGATTCAACCTTCCCTGTGTGCCAGGGGAACTTTGCATATGTTAATCACCATAATCACTGTTTGCACTGTTTAATTAGCATGCTACGGGAATTACCTAATTGACACCTTCTGCATTTGTCTGGCACATGACACGCGTGTGTGATTTTTTTTCTTTCTGCACTGTGTACTGTTGTTCTGAACAGCCTGGAGCGTCAGGTCCCCTTTGCATGTCACGTGATAAATGTTCATTTCCTGCGTAAACAGGATATTCCCAATTCTGATATTTTATCCAAATCAGTTTTCTGTTTTTTTTGCCATGCTAACAAGCTCCTACAGATTAAACTGGGAGTCAGCGGGTAATGTTTGTATACTGTGTCATCTTGTCCAACGTGGCCTCTTGAATTTTAATGTGCTTCATAGACATTAGGTCAGCACCATTCTTTGCTGTACAAGTACAGCATTGACGCTGCCTGAAGCAACTGGGAGTTCAGTGTGTAGGACGAGGCCTTGGAAGCTGATAGGTGGTGCTTCCCAGGAAAGGCCCTTGGTGCTCAGCCTTAGCTACACCATGTCTCACCATCTTACTTTCATAAAGTGATACAAAAGGAATCACCCCAGCTGAGCCATAATGTTGAACCTGCTGCTGTTGTCGTCTTGCAGCTCCTTCTGTGCCCCCCCAGAATGTCCAAGTCAGTGCCCTGTCGTCGACACAGCTGGAGGTCGTGTGGGAGCCCCCACCGCTGGAAACTCAGAACGGAAACATCCAGGGCTACAAGGTAGCGTCCCTTCATCTCCTGGCCTTTAAAATATTCTGTTCTTCCTGCTTTTTCTGCCTAGTTAAGTTCAAACATATAAATCTGGCCACCTTGATTACTGGCATGACCTTTGAATGTGCTTACATTCCTCTACATCCAATCATGGCTGGGCTTCTGTAGGATCAGAATCCAGAGGGTACAATGCTGTGTTATATTCTCCCACTGTGTATTACATGTGGCACATTTGTGTAATTACTGGGGCTCCGGCACTGTCTTCTCTCCCAGATCCATTACTGGGAGAAGGAGAACCAGAACAGGACCGCAAAGGTGAAGGTCCTTTTCCTCCCGGAGACAATGGTCAGGCTGAAGAACCTCACCAGCTACACGTCCTACTTGATGCAACTCTTGGCCTTCAATGCAGCGGGAGACGGCCCCCTGTGTAAGGCACGTGAGGGACTCACTCTGCAGACAGGTGAGGAAACACCTCGATCACGTTCTTGTTCTTCAAATATAAGCTGGAGAAGGACATTGATGTAAACCAGGAGGACATTGCCTCACATCCCAAAACAGGGCCCCACTTTTGTACTCTTGATCTAACGTTCCTCAGCAGAACATCCTGCCATGTGTAAGTGCACAAAGTGTAAAATCACAAGGAGTGTTTGCCATTTTGAAGAAGCCCTTCTGCTCTGTACAATGCATTAGGGTCCATGGGCCGGTAACAGGATTAGGAGATGATTATATGACCGTGGGGCTGCAGCTTAATCCCAGTGACAAACACCAGCAGCTAATGGGTTTTATGCTGATTTGAGCTGGGAATGAACACTTCTCTATCTTGCCATTTAACAGTAACGAATGGACCGTGCCTCTAATCATGTGCAACATGTCTGAATAACATACCTCCCATGCATAGTTCCCTGCCCAGTCTGGGTAGAGGTTGCACATGTTTCAATGCTGTATTTGGTGGCCTTTCGTTTCAATTAGGGGGCGCATTTTGCTACCACCTCAGGCGAGATGGTCCTGGAGAGATATTAATGGGGAATAAAGCAGCATAAAAAGGAAAAGAGCTTTTTGGTTTTCAGAGTCCTTCCTGTCATCTGGGAGAAGCCTTCATCAGCCTGATTACCCTGAACCCTAAAGGAACAGCAATATGTTTGATATTCCTATAGCTATGGAGTTTCATATATTCACAGGACCTCCTCAATTCTCTGAGACACATAAAAAAATAGCTTTAACCTTGCTATCGAGTTAGGGTCGGCCCCAACCTGTTTTTAAGTTTAAAATGCATAAAAGGACCACATAAATTTGCATACTGCATCAAGGCTTTTTGACTTTGTCAGGAATCTCTATTTAAACAAAATAAATTAAAACTTTTTTTCCACTAGGCAAGGCATGTCCATACATGTAAGGCAAGAAAAGACCAGTTCAGTTTATTTATATAATTTTCTTGAGGTTTATTTTACCATCATGTTTTTTATTGAAAATGAGAGGTATGCTGTCAAAAGAAATGTCCAGAAAGCCACACCAAAAATATTAAAACCAATCTTTTCATGGATAAGGAAGCCTAACAAGGTAACGAAGAGGTAAGAAACAAATTGGATGATAAATAATTATTTTGAGGGTATTTTATGCCTGATTTAAGACACAGGTCAGCACCGACCTGTTTAACATAAGAGATAGGGACCGAAAGCTAACATAGGACTGAGGTTAATGTAGCTAAAGCCATGGCTAACCATTCAGAAGTGCATGGTCTTATATCCAGGGGCGTTGCTAGAGATTTTGGGCCCCATGAAAGCATATCATATTAGGCCCCCCAGTCCAAACCAATCCAGTTATTTTCCTAATTTTTTAGGGCCCCTGTCACTCAGGGGCCCTTGGAATCGTCCTAGCTTTCCTCCCCCTTACGGCGCCCCTGCTTATATCTGTACAATTACTACCATCCAGGAAACATTTTGCTACATATATGGAACTTGGTTATACAGTGGTACCTCGGTTTTCGAACTTAATCCTTTCCGGACTCCGGATCGAATCCTAAATAGTTCGAGTTCTGATCGAATTTTTCCCATAAGAAATAATGGAAAACCCCAAAAATTACACCTTAATGTTTTTTTTTTTAAGCATTTAAACACAAAATGAACAGGATAAAGAGCATTTTTATCTTAATGGCTTCCAAAACGATAAAGATCTTATCCCAACATTACCCCTGTCCTGCCCCGATCGTCCGCTCCTTCCGTGTGCCACGCCCCCTCGTTAACGTCGTATGGGATCCCCATGTGATCAGCTGTTTCTGGTTGTTGTCATTAGTCCTCTGTATTAAGTCCGCGTTTCAGTTAGTTTCCCCAGTTCGGTCATTGGGTGCGTTCGACTTGCTTACAGCGCTGTCTTAAAGCAACGCATTCTGATCCTGACGCAATGCATTACAGTCACCCCTGATTTACCCCTGATTTACACTGGATGCGTACCCGCTGCGGTGTTTTTCCGACACGGCAGCCGCAGGCAATCGCTGGCAATAAAGTCAATGCATCA